TTGTACTGACGGAAGGACCTTGGATTATTGTTGGGCAATACCTAACACTCCAGAAATGGCGCGCTGGTTTCTGCCCGGCTACAGCACACATCACTCGTATGGCAGCCTGGATCAGAGTTTCAGCTATTCAATTGGAATGTTTTGATGTCTGGGCTCTCAAGAGAATTGGTAATTTGCTGGGCAAACTACTGAAAATTGATGCTCTCACCACTAGCCAAAACAGAGGTAAATTTGCACGTCTTTGTGTTGAACTCGACATGACCAAGCCTCTAGAGGCCTTTATTCAGATAAATCAAATTTGGTATAACATTGAGTATGAAGGGCTACCAGATATTTGCTATCATTGTGGTCTTTATGGCCATAAAAGCGATACTTGTAAGCAAAGAGGGAAGCCTACTGCAGAAATGCCTGAAGGGAATCGATCTGTCCCAAATGGGGAACAAGTTAGACAAGATACTAATATGGAAAAGGAAAGTGGTGAAGTAGAAGTGGAAAGTTTGAGGGGCCCGTGGATGAACGTTCCACCTAGAAGGAAAACTAAGAACGGTGCAAAACCTTCGAGTGGGGGAAGTAACAACCTTAAGTCCCATGGCTCTCGTTTTGGTGCTCTCGAAAGGCTTACTGAAGATGTTGGATTGGAAACCACAGAGGCTCTCGTTGACGACGCCCCAAATAATAAGGGGCCCAATAAGGTTAATTCTGACACTGAGGTGAAAATATGGACCAAGTCTAACAAAGCTAAAGGTGGAGGTAGACAGGCTATGAAAGATATCTCGAACAGGAGTATGGCTTCAAGCTCCAGAAGGGAAACTGACCAGCAGATTATAGTGAATCCTAAGGACAACTCTCAGACTGGATATCCGAATAAAGGAAAGTTTGTCTCAAGTAAGTTGCAACCTTCCCAAGCCGTGCCAGCCAATGAGAAGGTTAGTGATTGGGTGAGTGTTGCGTGGATTTCAGCTGCACCAAAATGGATTAAGCTGCATCCTCAACTTGTGATACTCGCAAGTGCACGAGCCGTTTG